TTTCCCTCAACTTTTGTAGTCATGCCATCTTTCTATTCTTCTACGCCACCGCAATCGCGTCTGTCTGACGTGTCTCAGCAATTTATTCGCGAATCCTCTCCAAGTTCAACCGGTTTCGCTGTAACTCTTCAATCGCTGCTTATTCCATCACCTTCGCTGCAGCAGCCGTTCTCACTCTTTGCTCCAATTTCTACTCCGATGCCCTGACCTTGTTCCGAGCTTCGATTTCTTTTTCCCGAAGCTACTTTCTATTAATGCGGGCAGCTCTGATGTTATTTCGAACAGGCGGCATTATGATATGTACTTTCGATCGCTCCTTCTGCAGTTTCAAAAATTTCGATGCGAGTTGAATTTTTCAGTGGAGTCGCATTTAAGGCCATTCCATGTGTATCATGGCTACCGATCAAACAATTCTGAGATTTAGAACAGAAAAAAATGTCGAAGTCAATTTAAATTTGTTTTCCACATGATTGCTTATTGGAACCTACTAGCAGCTTTTCAGATTTTGACTCGGTGTCTTTCTATAATATACATAAAATGAGAACTGAAATACTAAACGGCCGCAATTAAAGTGTTTCAGTGCAAGCAAATACCAATAACGAGCGTGACTGGTCTCGCGATGTTCTTGGATGGCTCGTCCCCAATTGCTGACCGTTCTTTCCTGCCTACATAATTTACACTACTGCACTCTTTCGCCCTTATATTTTTTTCCATTTAGCGTCATTGCCAAATTGCAATGCAGCTACCCTAACAAAATTTAGAGTCGCCCCAGCTTCTGGTACACCAAATCAGAAGCTGCCGCGTCTGTAAATTTTCACTGGGTAGTTGCTAGCATTCATATTACAGCTAGTTGCTAGCAACAAAATGCCAAGGCATTCGCATCGCGCATACATATAATCAAGTAATCCGACACTAATATATTTTATTTTCTCATGATATTCGCTCTCGAGGTGCCTTTCGAGTTCAGAGATTCGAGTAGCTTATAACATGCACCAAGTCACACACAATGCATCTCTTCAATGTGATGCATTGGTAAGTAAATTTGCATAAATGAAGCAGGGAACATTTTGGTAGGTACTCAAATCCATTGTGGAGTCAATAAATTCTTCAAACTACCGTTAATTAACTACCTTTACCATGTTGATTCTTCAATTCTTCACAGAGAGACTTCTAACGCGTGTCTCGGCTTGTCAGCAGTCTTATGGGACTTCGCGTTCATGAGAACATTGTTCCTGAGCGCACCACCACAGAGCGCGAGGGGTGTTACTATGTGTCTCAGTTGTAGGGAAAATCATGCACCATATTTATTTTCAGACTTGAAAGCGGTGACAGTTCTACAGTAGGCTTGTGGTGCTCACCATGTATTTTTTATCTGAAACATGCATCCGTTCTCAGTTCAGAAGAGATGCTTTCAAGTATGACATGACCTCCTGCACAGGAATAGACGCATTGTTAAACACAGCGTTCACACGAGTATTTTAAAGTGATTAATGGTATTTTTAAAATCGACCTTGCTGGGGCATCACATACAATTGCTCTAATCACAACCTTTACAGCGTGGTCTGATAAGCACAGACCTTCATTATCAAGTGATGATTTAAAGTCAGCTTCAAATTTTTTTTCAGAAATAAATGAGCAGGCGGCATTTTGTTTCATCTAGAATCTTGATACATAAACACCTATAACAAAAATTCTCCCTTCTAATTCTTCAAAACGGACCAATATGGGATATGCGTAAGAACGCCTGCTTCCGTTAAAAAGTGGGATACCATCTACGTTAATTACTGCATTGAGAACATTATTAGTCTGGTCGTGAAATCTGGTCGTGAAATCATTTTCTCTGTTTTTCACCTGTCACTACTTGTTACTCCGTCTCTTCTCTTTGAGATGCTAACGCTGCTTCTTTAGAGCCAGCTTCGGCGGGCTGGACAATATTGAGACATATACCACCCCTTAATTGTGGGTGATGATTAATTTGAGATTTTGAATAATTGAGACCTTCCGCCTTGTTGGCGATGGTATTTTTTTGACCTCCGGTGCGAATTAGCTTGATAGCTGAAGCGCTAGAAAACCATTTACTACTCACTGCTTACTCATAAAATAATTGGCATTTGAATAAATTGACTTGACTCAACTGGTGTAAATGAGCGGGAAGTCTAATAATAATGCATGAAAACTTAATAATTATAAGAGATCGACTGACAGCATTTTAATTACATTAAATTCTCTTATACAGATTAACATTTTCAATAAATTGCATGAGAAGTATATGAATATTTTATATTTAAACTCACTGTCTGATGAGCCGCCAACGAACATTTGATGGGTCACACGCGGTCTTTGTTTGAGCAGAGTGCGCGCGCTCTTTGACCTGCAGAGAGCGTTGGTGTCGCAGCTGAACGATCTGACGCAGGAGCTGCAGACGCTGCAGCAGACCACGGTGCGCCTCCAGAGTCTGCAGCAAGAAGCCAAGGACCGACAAGACAGCATCTTCCGCAGGTGCGACGTGAACAAACCCTGACTTATGATGGATTAAGTCCTATAATTGCTGCTAGGTTGCTCAAATATTAAGTGTTTGAAAGTTGTTTGATGTAATTATTTGATAGGCTTAAGAAGTTTATTTCTTTATTAATCAGCAAAAAATACAAAGTTTATTCCCGGCATTAGCCAACTAAGTTGTGGCACTTCGAGCGACTCTTCCGACCAAACTCCAAAGTTAAAAACCAAACTGCGGGTGTGGGTCAAAACACGAATGTTGGCCTCGTCTGTCATAAGTTACTCCTTGCTTCTCTTAGAGCACTTACGCAAGTTACTTACTTGGTTAAGATACGGCGCAGCACCGACGAAGGTATTAGCGCCCTACTTACGCAAGTGCCAATTAAAGTTACATGCTGCCGTACGTTACATACTGCCGTACGTTACATACTGCGTAGCGTCCGGCTTTTGTGAGAGATTTCTTGCGTTGTCTAATTTCAATATTCATTCACAATTTACCGCTGATTCCGTGCTGAAAACCATAAGCACTTTCATGTTAGTCGCTTCTGATGAGGGCATGAAATTAGGAATTAATGATTATGATACAATAAATTTAAATTTATTTTTTGAATTAATTTTGCTGTCAATACGAGAAAAATTCCACTTATTTCGTTGAATATCTTTTACTTATTCGTAAGTTGTGCATTGTTTATTATTTTTATTGTTAGTTTTTGGTTAAATTAACATAGAATTTCATCCAATTCTAATTAACTGGACCATATCTGACCGTGATATTATTTTATAATAACAGGACTACATCTGGTCGTGATATCATTTTCTAATAACAGGTTTACATCTGGTCGTGATATAATTTTTTAAGAATACTAGAAAGCCCTCCACTACGACAATCACGAAAGCAACTAGAACAACACTGCAGAAAAAATTAGCATCATCTTCCAAATGAAGATTATTAATTGCGACTTCGGCAGATGCACAAGATGTCGAGTGTCTGCTCAGAGTTCATATGAATCACGATGACTATCAAATAATAGCACCGCTAAGCTAGAAAATAGGCTCTGAATTTTTTATAGGGCTCCCAATTTGATCTGAATTGGTTATTAGAGTTGCGGTTTATGGCCAGTGTTATTTTTTCCATTGCTGCGGAATTTACTCGCTCCGGAAAATTCGGTCGTAGCGACCTTTTGTTTTGCTCTAATCAAGAGCCAGCAGCGACAGAGGATCAACTACCTTTTTCTGTTTTAGCTAGAACCACATAGTATTTTCATATAGAAATTTTGTCATTAGGATTCTATCTGTTAGAGCTTCTTCATTTCAAATATATTGACATTTTTCCATTTTTTCTTCATTTTTGTGGCACCCTACTGGCCACAATAAACAATCCTAACAATGGAAAGTGGCTCTCCAGAGAACAAAGCACTGCCAATCAATTCTAAAGCATGGAATCAAACTGATGATGTAGCTGGTATTTCTGATGACGCTCTTGATGGCGAGTTGCCTCTACCAGACTCATTCTCAGATGGACCATCAGTCCATCAACTCCTTGGTGGGAGAATACCCAACCCAAACTCTTAGGCTCTTCCTCATCAGATGGTCACAGGTACATTTTGACTTTAATTGACTTTGCCACTGGTTTCCCTGCACCACTGACAACTGTTTTAGGAGTCCCTCAAAGGCTCAAGCTCGTAAATGTTAAGCAAGATTACCAAGGAGCAGTTAAGCCAGAAGAGGAACATTTACATCTGTGGATTTCAAGTAGACCATGAACAAGCTGTGTTTGATCGGCTCAGATCAGTTGGACAGATTACCAGCATTATTGCCAGCCGTGCAGTTAGCTGGGACCTGGGAGTGGGATCAGACTGTCAGACTCATAACTTACCGTTTTTTTTGTGATTTGCAGGAGGCTCTGAAGTCAAATCCAACATGGCCCTACAGGTACTGTGGTATAGCAGGGTTGTAAATTTTAGTTGGTTAGCTGCCACAGTTTCCCTCCATTGGTACATCATGGGGGCCCCAAAGACAGGTTCTTGTGTCCCCTCTGGTGAATGGCCCAATGTCTCCACAGCCGACCAAACAGAAGACAAAAAAAAAATATAACTCGGTACTCACTGTAGTGAGTGACAGAGAGCGCATTTTCTCGTCGACAAAAACGTGAGGTCACGGACGGACGGACAGACAGACAGACGGACATGGCGAGCACAATAGTGCATTTTTTCATAAATGAGAAAATGCGCTAAAAATGGTACAATTTTTTTCGTCTGCCAGCCACAGTCCAGGCAAGTGATGAGTTGCATGGCCAGTATTTACCCAGTAATTACGCCGTAAAAGATTTACGTACATGCTGCACACGTCTTCATCTCGGAACTCACAACTTCCTTTGAAACCAAGAAAGTTTCCTTTTTCGCACAAATTCGCAAAAGAAATAGGCTTGACAGATCAGTTTCACAAGTACAACAGTTGATCAATGCCGTCAGATCCCTCATAGCTTACATGGGTAATAATGATAATTTTGGTATTGTATAAAAAATTTATTATAATTTCTCTAGAAAAGAAGGACGAGTGTGTAACATTACTGAGCATTTGTAGGAACGGCAGTTAAAGTTCCAAGTTCTTCTTCATGTTCTTGAAGCGACTGACGAGCTTCTCAATTTTTTCGCTCCTGGAAAGAAGAAAATATTGAGATGCAATACAGTAACAAACATATAATGCAAACGAATAAGGCCGGATATACCTCCAGATTCAACACTCTAATCAACAGCGGCCATCAAATATCATAGGTTATTGATTAATAACCATAATGAGATCTTGAACACCTAGGGTGGTTTTGGGGTGACTAGGCGCTGTAAACGAAAATACTACGTAGTTAAAATTCTTACCTTCACACAAATATATGCCAATACTAATGATCGCCTTAATATAAATTGAAGAATATAACAATCCTAACAATAGGAGGAGAACAGTTATATGATCTTGTTATTCTCGTGTTGCCACGACAGCGAGTTTTGCTGTTTGATGCGGACCGACAATAAAATGTATTAAAATTACTATATTGCTTAAGTCGCAAGTTTACCAGGAATTTAAAAGCAAAGAAAACAGCCAGAATATTAACCATTTCTTAAGAATGAAAACGTTTCGGAGTCCAGCTCCATCGTCAGTTCAAAAGTTGAAAAAAAAACGTCATTTCAAAAGTCATTCTTAAGAAATGGTTAATATTCTGGCTGTTTTCTTTGCTATTAAATTCCTGACAATAAAATGATCCCGTGTTGCCAATAGTGAATTTTACTGCATGAAGCCGAGCGAAATTAATATTCACAGTGAACCTCACGCTCAATTTAACTACCTAGACGTTTACAAAGCACAACAGACCTGGGCCTATAGGTACTTTCAAAAAAATGTAAGAGATCGTAAGTTCATCAGCCAATCATTGGCGGCCTTTCAAGCAAAATCCACCAATCATAGACAAGGAAATAGAGCAAAAGTAGGTACTTACGTTCACTTAGCGAGTTTTGAAAATATTGCCCCTGAATCCAAGAATATGGTTGGTAATGCTCAGAACTAGCTCATTGCGTATGATTCAATAAGCGAGGATACCCTACATTATTTACCAGGTGAGACTGCAAGCTGTATCGCCAGGGCTGAAAATTGTGCTGCAAACAAATTAACACTTGGCACCAGCATTTCCGTAAGGATTTTAGCAGATAAATGTAAGGGCTTAAATTAAGAATAACTTTTCAGCGCTCTAATAATTGTCTAATATTAGAGTTTATTAACTACGCTGTTAACCAGACGATAGTCTGCAATCTCACTTGCTGCTATTAATCTATTGCCTATTATATTAGGCATATATATTAATCTATGACGCTATGGCAAACACACTTATAATTGTATTTATTTTTCTTTCTGCGAGAAATGAATTTAATATCACCTCACATCAAACACGTTACTATAGGTACTAGCACATAAATCAGCAATAACCCGCACAATCTAACCTAAACGTCATGATACCACAAATAATATCTAACAAAGACTTAGTCCCAATACTCACTCCAAGCTAATGTTTTCTTTCAGAGAATGAAGCTGATTCTGCGAGAGCTTCACGTCACCGCCATCGCTGGCACTGCTCGAAGTTTTTGGCTGCAAGGGTGGAAAGTCATAGGTTAGGCTAAGCCAAGCCGGTGGAAGTCTAGTAGCTGCTTCAAACTATCGCCAGTCATGAAAATATCCGGTCAAATGACACGAGTTTAGATCTTCTGTGAACAAGGCACGATAAGGAAAAGAATCGGCGACAGGCCACATCAGGCCTACACTTCAGCGCCGACATCACTATGTTATGTTATGCTAAGCCAAGTCAAGGCAATCAAATCGCGATTTGCACTCGATTACGACAAGAGAATTTACAAGAGGCGAGGAATAGACTTGCGGAGCCATGTTGACACTCGTGCCATGTGCAATGAACGAGACTGAGATAAATTGCAAATTGCATTGCACACATTGTGCAATGAATGAGATAAATATCTCTGCCATTGTAAAGTGCGCTTCAAACGATAAGCAATTCATCACAGCCCTACGTACAGTAAAGTTATGTAAACCTTCCGGTTATAATTTAATACTGAACATCACAGTCCTAGTATAGACAAGGAGTAAAAGAGGAAGATTTAGTAGTTTGTTGCGAGATAAATTCGAGCGCCAATATCTTTGTATCAAGATGCAGTTCACAAAATGTAAGACAAATCCTAGGTTACATAAATTAGAAGCCTGCATCTTTTAGAGCACGAATACCTTATTTAACAACATATTTCATGGAATAAATTGCACCCAGTTTATCCATCATGAAATGACATATTTGAGTGTAAGATGAAAATTGACATGATGAATCTATTAAGCTAAGTATCGCGAGTATCAGAAAATTTTCTCTTTACTTTGGTACATTATATGTCTACCAGCAACACTTGTCTACCATACAAAAAATAATGAAATTTATTTCCAAATTATCATGAAAAAGTAAGTAATTGGTATCATTTTTGAATTATGGTGACTTGCAGTAGCGTGGAAAAAATTTGGGTTTTCAACAACCAAAGATGTAAAGCTAATCTTGTCCATTAGAGCCATGACTTGACTTGAAATTGGCTGAGCCCCAGACAGTCAAGTGATGACAATATTACCCCAAGCTGCATTCATTTAATGCACCAACCAACAAAAAACGATTCAACCAAGAGTTATATATTATGTTCTTGCCCTAAAACGGCACAAAATGTTTCCATTTAATAATTTATCCACATCACTTATATAGTTTATTTAGTCAGTGTTAGTTTGGCTGGGAGCTTCGCCTGCTACCTGCGCGATGGTCTCATGCCACTGTAGTTTGGTCCACATCACTTATATAGTTATTTAGTCAGTGTTTTGTTTGGCTGGGAGCTTCGCCTGCTACCTGCGCGATGGTCTCATGCCACTGTAGTTTGGTCCACATCACTTATATAGTTATTTAGTCAGTGTTTTGTTTGGCTGGGAGCTTCGCCTGCTACCTGCGCGATGGTCTCATGCCACTGTAGTTTGGTCCACATCACTTATATAGTTATTTAGTCAGAGTTTAGTTTAGCCGGAAGTATTTAGTCGCCTGCTACCTGCGCGATGGTCTCATGCCACTGTAGTTTAGTGTGTAGGTGCTGGAGGTCATCGCGCTAATTTAAGAGTTATTTAGTCAGAGTTTAGTTTAGCTGGAAGTATTTAGTCGCCTGCTACCTGCGCGATGGTCTCATGCCACTGTAGTTTAGTGTGTAGGTGCTGAAGGTCATTGCGCCAGTTATACAGTTATTTAGTCAGAGTTTAGTTTAGCTGGAAGTATTTAGTCGCCTGCTACCTGCGCGATGGTCTCATGCCACTGTAGTTTAGTGTGTAGGTGCTGAAGGTCATTGCGCCAGTTATACAGTTATTTAGTCAGAGTTTAGTTTAGCTGGAAGTATTGGGTCGCCTGCTACCTGTGCGATGGTCTCATGCCACTGTAGTTTAGTGTGCAGGTGCTGGAGGTCATCGCGCAGTTCAGGCATCTGCTCCTGCATGGACTGCAGCTCCTTCAGCATCCACCGCTCGCCGCTCGAGAGACCGGGCAGACGACGCAGCGTCGTCGCGCACACGGCGTCTAGTCTGCACACACACAAACATTATGTACGCAACCAGAATTATTATCAATATACATTATTGCACGAAAGATCCAGTCGTCGCGCACACGGCGTCTAGTCTGTACATACGCAAACATTATGTACGCAACAATAAAGCGAATTATTATCAATGTACATTATTGCACGAAAGATCCAGTCGTCGCGCACACGGCGTCTAGTCTGTACACACGCAAACATTATGTACGCAACAATAAAACGAAGAATTCTTGGTATACATTATTGAAGCAAGATTCAGCACTCTTGATGCATCTACTCTTGATAGAGTAGAAAAATTGTTAGATTTTGAAAAATTTATGTGCTCAGGCGTGAAGACTGTAAGGCGCTGGAGCGTCAGGCGCTGTGATCATGTGATGCGCTAGTAAAGCAGCTACCTGTTAATATTTGCAGCAGTTCCATACGCCTAATGGCACGCGGGACACCAGAATGTTATTATATTGCGGATTTAATGATGTTTATTAACTTCTCAGCGGAGTAAAGAAGAACCTATAATAACCGTATTAAATATATTTTACAATTTTAAGTATTCGGACGAGCCCCTTCTATGAGACTAGTACTTGAGAAACATATGGTCACGTTTAGTTTGACCCGCATGTATGCCATTCTTAATCAATACAACAGACGAGATCAGCCTCTTTGGGTTTTGACTCGCACCCGCAGTTTGGTTTTTTAACTGTCGAGTTTGGTCGGAAGAGTCGCTCGCAATGCCGCAACTTAGTCGGCAAATGCGGGGAATACAAAAATTTTCCATTTTTTGCTGATTACTAAAGAAATAAACTTTTTAAGCCTATCAAATAATTACATCAAACAACTTTCAAACACTTATTATTTGAGCAACCTAGCAGCAATTATAGGAATTAATCCATCAGAAGGCAGGGTTTGTTCACGTCGCACCTGCGGAAGATGCTGTCTTGTCGGTCCTTGGCTTCCTGCTGCAGAATCTGGAGGCGCACCGTGTTCTGCTGCAGCGTCTGCAGCTCCTGCGTCAGATCGTTCAGCTGCGACACCAACGCTCTCTGCAGGTCAAAGAGCACGCGCACTCTGCTCAAACAAAGACCACGTGTGACCCATCAAATGTTCTGCAGGTCAAAGAGCACGCGCACTCTGCTCAAACAAAGACCACGTGTGACCCATCAAATGTTCGTAGGTTGCTCATCGGGCCGATAACTTGAATACAGTGAGTTTATATATAAAATATTCACGCGTTAGATGTCCTCCCCTCAGAAGAATAATCAACTGAAACATGAAGCGTGATAAAGGTAGATAATTAACGTTAGTTTCGAGAATTAATTGACTGCACAACGCAGTTGAGCTATAACCAAAAATAGCGTAGGGAATTTATCTTTTCTGGGATAGTTCCCGTCTTTTATCTTTATTTATCTTTTCTGGATAGTTCATCATTTATGTAAATTTATTCACAAATTAATTATATCCAATTGAACAATTTCCACCAACTACAAGAGTCTGCTCACAGCTCAAGAGTTAACCTGCTTACCAATTGTCACTCTTAGATCACAGCTCAAGAGTTGACCCTACTTACCAATTGTCACTCTTAGCCAGTTTCTGTTGAGAACCTAACCTATGGTTGATGAGGTTGGCCGCAGTGTTCTGAGGCACCAAGTAGTTGGCGCGGAGCTTGTGCAGCGTTTTGTTGGTGAGGTCGAGTGCCTCGACGGGGTCCAGGGGGCGGGCCGAGCTGCTGGCCAGCAGCGGCTGGGAGGAACCGCGTTGCAGGCAACGCCGCACCGCAGTCTCGAGGCTCTCCACGGACCCGCGCCCTGGAGCCTGCAATGCAAGTCCTCTTAGCAAGAACATGTGACTGAAATAATGCTTTCCTTCTTAATAATAATATAAGTAATCAATATACAAGCACAATAACGTTGGTTTATGTAGTTCTCTATGCTCTCCACGGACCCGCGCCCCGGAGCCTGCAATCGCAAGTCCTCTTAGCAAGAACATGTGACTGCAGGAATGCTTTCCTTCTTAATAATAACAATATTACAAGTGATCAATATACAAGCACAATAACGCTGGTTTATGTACGGTAGTTGTCGGTGCTCTCCATGGACTCGCGCCCCGGAGCCTGCAACGCAGTTACGCTTAGCAAGAATATGTGACTGTAATAATGCTTTCCTTCTTAATAATAATAATAATATAAGTGATCAATATACAGGCACAATAACGCTGGCTTATGTAGTTCTCGGTGCTCTCAACGGACCCGCGCCCCGGAGCCTGCAACGCAGTTTTGCTTAGCAAGAATATGTGACTGTAGGAACGCTTTCCTTCTTAATAATAATATAAGTGATCAACATACATGCACCGCAATGTATGAATATAAGTGATCAACATTTCAAACTAAATGGAAGATTATGATTGCCCTTACATAGTTATTCTTTCAGTGTACTTCATGCATGACAGCAGACAATGTTAGCGTCACACCTTGGACTCTGTTAAATTGAAAGCCTTGGAACCAGACAACGAGACAACGAGAAATTAAAATTTTAGGCCAATTAGACAAATACCAACAAATCAATTTCAAACTAAATGAAAGATTATGATTGCCCTTACATAGTTATTCTTTCAGTGTACTTCATACATGACAGCAGACAATGTTAGCGTCACACCTTGGACTCAACAGCAGCGAGCAGCGGGGGCAGGGGCAGGAGAGGCAGCAGCGCAGGCAACCGCACGGACAGCAGCGCGCCTGTGAGCAGCAGCACCAACACCTCGCACCCGCCCACACCCCTGCACCACCAACACCGTCAGGGTATTGTGTAGGTAAGGCATGGAGTAGGTAAGGCATGGAGTAGGTGAGGCATGGAGTAGGTGAGGCATGGAGTAGGTGAGGCATGGAGTAGGTGAGGCATGGAGTAGGTGAGGCATGGAGTAGGTGAGGCATGGAGTAGGTGAGGTAGTAAGGTATCGAGTAGTTTACCAATCGCTCGAAATATAGAGTTAAGAACATTCTAAGATTCTAAACAGTTCAAAGTTTGAGCTCTCAAGTTGTAATCTGGCAAGGTAATTGTATAGTTTTTATATCATTGAGCTAGCAATTTATCAATGTTCAACTTTATGCAATATTCATCATAAATACTTATCTTACGACTATAAGGATATATCTGATAGAATATGAATCCTAGATATTGTCTTAGCCAAAAAATTCATAACTTCGTAGGTGACCTCAATGATACGAGTCTAGTTTCTCATTGAAATTCAAGTATGTATCTAAGAAGCTTCATTGATTATTGCCAATAATGAAGTCGAAGGCGAAGAATGAATTAAAATAATTAATAGATGAACGTAATGTAAAAGATAGCTTCTAGCCGAAAGCACATACGTGGCTGTGAAAGCCTTAGCATCAGTAGAAGTATTACTAAGGGTATCAATATTAGTATCAGTAGAAGTATCTCTAAGGGTATCAGTAGCAGTATCATCAAGTGTATCAGTAGAAGTATCACTAAGGGTATCAGTATTAGTATCAGTAGAAGTATCATCAAGTGTATCAGTAGAAGTATCACTAAGGGTATCAGTATTAGTATCATCAAGTGTATCAGTGGAAGTATCACTAATGGTATCAGTGGAAGTATCACTAAGGGTATCAGTGGAAGTACCACTAAGGGTATTAGTATTAGTATGAGTAGTAGCATCACCTGGGGCTGAGGGCAGAGGGGCCAGGGCACCACACGGCGCAGGCGGTGACAGGCACGAGGGCGGCGGAGGGCAGCGCCAGCGTGCACACCAGATGCTCCACACAGCACTCACCGCCCAGCTCATCTGCACACACAACGCTTACTTTACTACCACGTTACTGCCTAGTTGCTGACACGTTACTGCCTAGTTACTGACACGTTACAGCCTAGTTACTGACACGTTACTGCCTAGTTACTGACACGTTACTGCCTAGTTACTGACACGTTACTGCCTAGTTACTGANTTATTTAGTCACATTTCCCTCATTATGGGGTGGCGCCCCCCATTTGCAAACTATGACACTTTCCTCAAGTTTGTCATTTGCATATGTAACTAGAAGAGTTCTACTACAATGCACCAAAACCTGGAGTTATTTTACCAAAAAAAAAATTGATTTTACCACCCGGTCTAAGTTACCCCAAGAGCTGGGGTAACAAAGACCATCACTTTTTTTGAAATTACATAAAGACTATGAGAGGCAGGAGCCAGCAATTTATGGTGAGTGAAGCTAGAGTATAGACCTGATTTTTGCATGTTTCAATTCAAGTTTAATTTAGCTAATAAGAAAATGGCATCATTTATAAGAAAAAAAGTGGTCTAAGTTACCCCATTTTACGGTATGAGTTAAGTTAGCCACAGCCAAACATAGATATGTGTGGCTGATTTTTTTTTCTGATATATAAAAATATCCCAGAAGCGAAGAGGCGAGATTACCGTCCGGGGCGGCGTGTGAAGACATGACGAAGCGCCGCATGCTGTCCACCAGGGAGACCGTCACTAGGTGCACGCCAGCCGAGTGTAGCACCAGGTATCTGAGACAACAAGCTTGTTAGAATGTACTACTCTATTTATATACATTAATGATTCATTTTCTACAAGAATGGTATGAAGAAGCAGGACCTAACCTATCCATCAATGACGTCATCACTACAAATTAGAGAATTCGAGGTGGACCGCGAAATTTGTAGAAAATATAAAGAAACCTTGATTCTACTAAAGAAACATACGTGATACAAACAGTTTGGTACTCAGGTTAAAATATATTTGATCACTTTTATCTTATTCGTTTTGTTTCAATCTGGAGGAGGATTGATAACCTTATCTGTTTACCCTACATAGAAAGTGTGTCTTGGGCGTGTTTATCCGAGCTTACGGTTGAATAACAACATTCATACTTCATTTGAATCTCGGTATAAATGGGAAATGTAATACTCGGGTATGATTTTCAACTGAAAATATAAAATTTCAAATCTTGTCAGAGTTTATAACAGCTTACGTTTGAATAACAACAGTCATACTTCATGTGAATCTCGGTATAAATGGGAAATGTAATGCTCGGGTATGATTTTCGACTGAAAATACAAATTTTCAATGTATTAAAGCACCAAATCAGCACACTGCAAGTCCCACGAGAACCAAGAAGTGGAGTGAGGGCACCTGTTAGTGAAGGAGTCGTGCGTGTGGGAAATGTAACTGCTCGGGTATGATTTTCGACTGAAAATACAAAATTTCAATGTATTAAATCACCAAATCAGCACACTGCAAGTCCCATGAGAACCAAGAAGTGGAGTGGAGGCACCTCTTAGTGAAGGAGTCGTGCGTGTGGGAAATGTAACTGCTCGGGTATGTTGTTCGACTGAAAATATAAATTTTCAATGTATTAAAGCACCTAATCAGCACACTGCAAGTCCTACGAGAACCAAGAAGTGGAGTGAGGGCACCTGTTAGTGTTTACACTGATAATATAAGTTTTCAATGTATTAAAGCACCAAATCAGCACACTTAAAGTCCTATGATAACCATGAAGGTGATTGCACCTGTTAGTGAAGGAGTCGTGCGTGCAGAGCATGAGAGGACGTGGGGCCAGGAGCTGGTCAGGACACAAGGACAGCTGCAGGTCCACGCACTCGTACACGTACAGGGACACGCTGGGACTGCTCACTGACAGGCGCGACAAGCCCTGCCATGTTAGGCTAATATAGTAATGAGCTCAATACTTGTTAATGCTAATATTTAATGAGCTCAATAATTGTTAATGCTAATATTTAATGAGCTCAATAATTGTTAATGCTAACATTCATTGAGCTCAATAATTGCTAATGCTAATATTTAATGAGCTCAATAATTTTTAATGCCAATATTTAATGAGCTCAATAATTTTTAATGCCAATATTTAATGAGCTCAATAATTGTTAATGCTAATATTTAATGAGCTTAATAATTGTTAATGCTAATATTTAATGAGCTCAATAATCGCTAATGCTAATATTTATTGAGCTCAATAATTGTTAATGCTAATATTTAATGAGCTTAATAATTGTTAATGCTAATATTTAATGAGCTCAATAATTGCTAATGCCAATATTTATTGAGCTCAATAATTGTTAATGCTAATATATAATGAGGTCAATAATTGTTAATGCTAACATTCATTGAGCTCAATAATTGCTAATGCTAATATTTAATGAGCTTAACATCTCTTATCTTCCGTCATACTCGAATAGCATTCATATCCAGCTAAGCTTGAGTGATTGGTAAGTTAGATTTACATGAAATAGAAAATTGCAATATCCTTTCCATTGAATAGCCGTCATGAAATTGGCTTAACTTGCAGTTAAGCACGTATCTGCATTGTAAATGTTTAGGTAGGCAACTGAGAAGCACCCAAATTCAAGTACAAGCGACATCATTTATCATCAAAGAATCATAATCAATAAATAAAATTGGACTATAAAAACGAAGCATTAAGCAATAAATCTTTAAATTCATGAAATAAGAACTATATGCTATTTTCGTCGAGAATAATCAATGTGACTAAACAATAAATGATGAACAACGGATTATCTTAGTGTAGGTTCTAAAACTATGCAGAAATTTATCTTGTACCTGAAAGTGCAATGCTTTCAAAATGATCGAGTCAGACGAAGCAGAACTAAAAGTATTGAGTAAAAAAATCATTCTTGTGAAAAGTAAGTTTCAAGTGGTGGAAGTGAGTAATCCACTCTTATAATAAAAGATCTGTGCTAAAATGTGTCTTATATTAACGACAAGACATTGGTCAATGCAGGTCACCAATGATTGAATGTAGGATATTCCTCACAGTTGCCGGAATCGAGAGATCTAAAGCAGATCAAATACGATTTACATTTCGTTTCCTCTCTTGAAGGATTATATGAACCCTCTCAAGTATATCCATTATTAAGTATAATAATTGCTCTAACATAACTAATTATAAATATTTTGGCAGCAGTCACATTCAGACATCATGTTCAATGAGGGAAATATTTGCCGGACACTTCACCTGCGTGAGTTTGAGTTCGTCATGACTGCCTGAAGTCACCGGCACGTCGGGCTCGTCTTTAGGCGGCATAACGACGCAGTGGAAGACTCGGCCTCCTGTAGTGGCAAGCACCAGCACACTGCCCACGCCGCCCTCCCCCACGCAGCACACGCTGCACCACTCCAGGGCGTAGTTGTCTTCTCGTGGCGGCAGCAGCACTAGAGGACCCGAGACGGTGCGACTGCGCAGCCTGCAACAACACGACACAATAAATACTTACTCTAGAAACTAAAACTCACTCTAGAAACTAAAACTCACTCTAGAAACTTAAACTCACTCTAGAAACTTAAACTCACTCTAGAAACTTAAACTCACTCTAGAAACTTAAACTCACTCTAGAAATTTAAACTCACTTTAGAAACTTAAACTCACTCTAGAAATTTAAACTCACTCTAGAAACTTAAACCCACTACTCCAACATTTGAAGTTAGAAGTAAAAAAATGAAACTCAGTACTCACTGCAGTGAGTGACAGAGCGCGCATTTTCTCGTCGACGAAAACGTGAAGTCACGGACGGACAGACAGACGGACATGGCGAGTACAATAGTGCATTTTTCCATAAATGAGAAAATGCGCTAAAAACTGCCATCATAGTTCATTACAGCCGCCAAGTGAGCTAGCATTGGATTATTAAACGACGAAAGACGGTCGTCTGTCCTGTGAAATTCGACCATGATGGTTCGGGATTCATATGTTGAGTTGAAACATAATTTTTCAACACAACATATGTCATGTCAAGGCCATACGTTAGTAAAATCGAATAAATCTTTCTTCTCCGAGTCTCCAACATTGCCGGATAAGGTAGAACGTCAATCTTTAAAATTTCACGGGGCGGCTGGCCACTGAAACGCCGCTCAGACCACTTTTTCGAACAGAGTAGCAGACACATGCAATAACAGTTCTATGTAACTAAATTGAATCCTGCCTTCAGCGTCACCAGCAGCTCATACGCCCGGGGACCGGAGGCCTTGCGGCCCTCTACCACTAACAGCTGGGTCCCCTCGGGCCCCAAAATCTGGCTAAGTTTTTCCCTGCTTCCCTTGCCTCCACCCCGGCTTAATGTAAGAAGTCCATAATTATCCCCATTGCCAAACCTGGTGAACCCAGAGCCTAGGGATAACTCTGCCGCCCCTAACGCGCCTCTGCTCATCAGACAAGAGAATGGCTTCTACTGCCGCTCCTCGTAGCTTCTCTCGCCCGTTTCAGCATGGCAACGAGTACATAGAGACCATACAAATCGCGGTATGCAACGAGTACATAGAGACCACGTAAAATTGGATGCAAAAAAAAACTAATTTTAAATCAATCTACTAAGTAGCCTTTCACAAGCCGGCAGACATTGGTCATGCTACACTAAGCCTATTAATGAAGAAACAAGATACTTGAATGTATGAATTATTATTATACCATTATTAGGAGACATAAATTAACCACTTTGACTGGGATTCCCAAATTAATTTTTAAAGAAATAGCACTAATGCGTTTGCCTTATATGCCGTGCATCGCAGTCGAGGAAAAGCAACGAGAGATTATGAACTGAGAAATTTCACACAAAAAACTGCGAACTAACTTGTGATGGAGGCTGAGGTACGTGTGATACACGTCCCCGTTACTAACTTGTGATGGAGGCTGAGGTACGTGTGATACACGTCCCCGTTCGCATAGAGCACGTATACCGGCCACAGAAAGTCTGCCGCGTCATCTTTCTTCTCCGAATCTCCAACATCGCCGGACTTCTGCAAGGCAGAACTCAAATGAACATCAACAGCCCTCGATCTCCAACACAAGAGAGGAAGGAAATACCAAGAATACTTATTACTCTAACGCAGGGGTCTCCAGAATAAGAATAGCGGCTAGGTTCCATCCGGCCAGCCGAGGATACCTCGAACTTCAACGTAAGGTGTACAAAAATCGAGCGTGGCCTTTATTACGCATGAACTAAAAACAGTAAATGGGCGTGACCGGCCCGCGAATGATTCAGAAAGATAGCTCTTGGCCCTTGGTGAAACAAGTTTGGAGGCCCCTGCTCTAACGTGATGCTTAGATACACAAGATGTTATCACACTTCAAAGCAGCAATGAGACGTCGACATAAACACTAGCAATCAAGGGTAGCTTTCCTGCAATAAAGTATCCTACTCAATAGTATTTATTAAGCTAGAGCAGGCACACGAACTTGATTATATGGGTTGATATAGACAGAACTAGTTAATCTTTAATATTACATGGAATATATTTAACCTTTCCATCGTACAAACCTCAACACAAAAAGTTTCTGAATTATGTTTTACCCTCCAAAACTCCAAAACAATAATTCTACAGATTTGTTATTTCTATTTGTTAGTTCTACCTAAGCAACACAGCTCATACTGCAATCATTACATTGCGCAGGAAAGCAAGGCGTTATCCATTGAGCATTATCCATTTTTTAGGTATTAAAACTAATGAGTAAACATTTACCGCTAGAATGCATCTAAAACTAGCATCAAACGTTCTCACCAAACTACACGTCGCTAATAATAATAATAACGCGGCATGCGCAATAATCACCTTAATTACATTAACGAATCACATTAATCACGCGGATCGCACATTAATCACCTTGATCACATTAATGAATCACATTAATCACGCGGCATGCACATTAATCACCTTAACGCCGTCAGTAACAACAGGCGCACCAATGGTGAAGTCTACGGCCTCCTCGCCCAGAGCTGAGCTGCCATACTTGGCGGGCGCGGCGTGACTGCTGAAGACGCTGTCGGGACGTGGCACAGACACCGCCAGCGCCTGCTCCGGTACATCCCTGCCCCGCAGACTGTATACTCTGCCGAGAACAAGAGACTTCAAAATGGGGATCCAAAGAAGTTCTGCTCCGGTACATCCCTGCCCCGCAGACTGTATACTCTGCGGAGAACAAGAGACTTCAAAATGCGGATCCAAAGAAGTTCTGCTCCGGTACATCCCTGCCCCGCAGACTGTATACTCTGTGGAGAACAAGAGACTTCAAAATGCGGATCCAAAGAAGTTCTGCTCCGGTACATCCCTGCCCCGCAGACTGTATACTCTGCCGAGAACAACTGAGTCTTTAGAATGCGGGTCCAAAGAAGAAGTTAATATTCTGCAGCACGGTGCTGGTAGTGGGCGCTACGAGAACTTCCTTGACTGGTTTTTTGTCTTAGTCTCATTATAGTAACTATAGTATTTGTAGTACTAGTACCTATAATATTATAATAGTTTTATTATAGTAACCATAGGATATAGTAGTAACTGTAGTATTATAATAGTCTCATTATAGCAACTATAGTATATACTAGTAGTAACTTTAATACTATACAATACGTTGAATAACAGAAAATACAAATGCAAAACATCATTGGAAATGAATAACCTTACAACAAACAAAACCGGCAGAGAAGACTAACCTGAGGTAGTGATCAGACGCTAGCATGACCACGTGGTTGCCGTTAGGGGAGCCAGGGTGCCAGCACGCGGCCACCACATCAATGCGTTGGTGGCACACCAGGAAGCGCTCAGCGATGTATTCTGTTCTGCAGTGCATATAAATTACATAATGAAAACATTATTGTAGGTTATTCTAATTCTGTACAGCACATAATTACTTAGTGAACACATTATTGTAGGTTATTCTAATTCTGTACAGCACATAATTACATAGTGAACACATTATTGTAGGTTATTCTAATACTGTACAGCACATAATTATATAGTGAAGACATTACTGCAGGATATTCTAATTCTGCAGTGCATATAATTATATAATGAAGACATTATTGTAGGTTATTCTAATTCTGTAGTGCACATAAATACACAGTGAAGACATTACTGCAGGACATTCCAATCTACATCTAATAGAATTCATCTACTATTGCAATTACATTCGAACTTGGCCATCTTTCTCATCTTGTGCTTTTGTGCATTTGTGCACTTGCTTGAAAGTTGTGTCTTGGATACAAAATATTAGCATATGTGTTGTTCAATGCAGTCAATATCTTTTATTGTAACAGCGCATTGTCACTGTAGTGCATCCTACGTTCTTCATTTAAGTGCAAAATACAGTCATATTTAATTAATGAGGCATGTAAGAAAATCTTAGTAAACGACCATTTATGCAAATTGTTCAATAATTGAGCAAGGTTATTTGCATTAGTAATTCAATAATGATAGGCACACTCATCACCTGCATCACTGCACACTCATTACCTGCATCACACACTCATCACCTGCATCACTGCACCCTCATCACCTGCATCACTGCACACTCATATGCACCCTCATCACCTGCATCACAGCACACTCATCACCTGCATCACTGCACACTCATCACCTGCATGATGCATCACTGCACCCTCATCATCTGCATCACTGCACACTCATCACCTGCATCACACACTCATCACCTGCATCACTGCACACTCATCACCTGCATCACTGCACCCTCATCACCTGCATCACGGCAAACTCATCACCTGCATCACTGCAAACTCATCACTTGCATCACTGCACACTCATCACCTGCATCACTGCACACTCATCACTTGCATCACTGCACACTCATCACCTGCATCACTGCACACTCATCACCTGCATCACTGCACACACTCATCACCAGCATCACAGCACACTCATCACCATCATCACACCCTCATCACCTGCATCACACCCTCATCACCTGCATCACACCCTCATCACCTGCATGTGATGTTCTCTCGTCCGCCATCAAATGTGTGGTGTTTGCCCCAGCGCTGTGGCAGGTCCACAACCCCCACGCCCCGCCTGCCCACCAGCAGCACACCCGTGCCTTGCTTGTTCACATGGATGCTCTGCACCGACCACAGCGGGGGGCGGGTCAAGCTCAGGGTCTGGCGGGTTGCGGAGAGTAGAATTATTTCATTATATATAATTCTACTGGATCGGAATAATTATATTATATACAGTAATTTTTGCCTCCGAATGTGGAAAATTTTAATGAAAAACTCATGGCAATAGAATTAAATACTTCATTATATTGTTAGTAGTGAAATTGAATGAAAAGTTATAGTGAAATAGGCTGAGAAAGTTTGAATGAGGCTACTTTTACACAGTACCGTAAACTGGGGTAACTTTGACTCCTGGGGTAACTTTGACCACTTTTGGTTTTTTAACAAAAACCCCCAAAACTCAAAAACCATTTGACATAGAAAAATTTTGTCAATGGGCATTAAAGACCTAATAC